TACGCAATCTTTCTTCTTGTTATGAAACTGATGTTAAAGGTTTAATTATAAATTTGACCAAGCAAGCTAAAACCGTAAATTATGTAGTACAACAAAAACAAAATTCCAAGAAAAAAACCAAAAAAGAGGCAAAGACGAAAGTAGTGCGGGCGCTAATCGTTAAAAGGTGCGCATATGCCAAACATCCAAAGATAAAAGTGCACGCAAGAGGTAAGAAAAAGCGATGATTTGCGTCTACAGATGCATTCAAATGAGTAAGGCGGCATTAAATATTTCCTAGATCAATCGATGCACCTCTATTGATTAGTCATGATTTGGTGATCAATCGGGCTAAACGATTGAAAAAAAGATTAAAAAAACAACAACAAGTGTACGATAAAACATTTGAAGAAATCACGATGTGATGCATTATTCCTTTTTTCAACATCATAGAAAATTACCGTTCTTTATTTGACATTACTGAGCATAATTAACAACAAATAAGACCACACCAACATGTGTACAACAAAGCCATACATAGTGACAAACTTGCCTAAAATCTGAATGAAACGCCGCCGTTTAATACGCAATTTTCACCAGTTATGTACCTGAAAGATTCCTTGGAAGATGAAAAGCAAATGGATCATCACATTTTTCAACGTGGATAACCTTGCTTTAGAAGAAAGGAGAAACTGTACGAGTGACGCAGCATCTGATGGTCTTCCCAAGCGACCAAGAGGTATCATTGACTCCAGTTGATTCACAGCTTTGTCCAGTTCCTTCGAGTCCCACAGAGCTCCAGAACCGTCACCAGCTACCTTAAGATTCAAAAGTAATCACTGAAGAAGCTTGATGGTAGATAAAATATGACGAACCATTCCTAGGCAAACAGAGTTGACTCGTACACCGCATCTAGCCGCGCTTACAGCCACATTTTTCGTAAGCCCAAGGACAGAAGTTGAGGCAACGGAGAATAATCCTATATCTATGCTAGGTGTAAAGCCAGCACATGACGTCACGTATACGACAGATCCATTCCATAAATGGAAATAAAATCAAAAAGATTAAAAAAAAAACATCCACTTTATTGAAACGGAGCTTTGTTAAATGTCAACACTATTACCCCACTCGCTCCCCTTTGGCCATTTTCTCTCTAGGCACAGGTTACGCAACTTGACCTTTCCAGGGATCGAAATCATTGTGGAACAAGTACGTCATCGAAGTACGCTTCCGCAAAGGGTGAGATTTTCAATCACAGTTATTCGTAGCCCATGACAAAAGTATTAATGCGCATCATGTCGACCTTTTTAATATTATATATTTATAGTAACCTCCAATTTTACTAACTGCTGCTATAAACAGGTTTAGAAAAAAGATTAAAGACAAAACAGACTTGCAGTTCGTTACACTCACTTATTATTATGGGCTCAAAAGTATAGTTGAAATTTCGTCCGTTAACCAGGCACTCCCACATGTGCCGAAGCGTGGCATGATTAGAAGCTGGGCTGAATTCCAGCTGACACCAATCTTTGCCGCACGCAACCGTGCCGCACCCTCGATCGGCCGATCGCGCCTACAAGAGTTACGAGGGTCGGCCGACCTGGACTAGTCGACCCTTATGAAGTACATGGACGCCGCGCGTTCGTCCTGCAACTCAACAAAGCTTCATGCCTAAATAGGGCCTATGATTTTGAGAGTGAGAGCACTACTGAAAAGTAGGAAAATTGCTTCTAATTAGATGGGAAAAGGCATAAAGTTATGGCATTTTCTGTAGTACGAACAATG